TATTCCCAATGTCAGACGGAGAGTTGTTGAGCGAGAGGCAGACTGTCCGCCAGGCGAGCCAGAGAATCAGAGCCCGAGAAGCAGTGAGCCAACTCCAGGGGGCCAGAGACCTGGAGGGGCGAGCCAGACAGGGAAGCAAGCGAGAGGCAGAGATGCTTGCTCGTTGTTGGCCATTACGTGTTCATCCTCATTCGCACGAAATAAAAGCTTACCAATCATTCTACCTAATCCTCATATTTCGCTCAGGTAGGCCTCTCGTTCTGCACTGGTCATCCGAGCCCCACTCTCGTAACCTCTTCCTTGCCTTATCGCTTGCGACTTCCTTACCTTCTCAGAGACCTCCATTGCGTGGTGTGCGTGTCTTTCATTAGCATTCGTGTGCGAGCTCATATTCCATCCAGCAATCGGCATTCGGTGCTACATTTCCGGCGAACTCGGCCATTCTTTCAATTTTAGTAGTGAATCGAATCCAGACGCATTTTTTCCGCAAGGCAAACAGTCTTAGGTCACAATGGGCAAGGGAGGTTCTCTGTTGTTCAGCGCACAGGCCAAGGCTGCTCCGAGCTGCCTCGATACTCTAGAGATCGATCCGAACTTGCTTTGCGAAAGGCCTCGCGTTCTTTCTGTCCTCGCGGCGATTTACGACCAAATCGTGGAGCGGAACGAGGCCAATCAAGCCAAGGGTGACGAGGAGAAGCTGACAGTTTTTCACGGCCTGCGCGCTCCGGCCATCGGAGTCGAGAAGTACATGGAGAGGATATTTAAGTACGCGAATTGCAGCCCTGCGTGCTTCGTCCTGGCATATATCTACGTGGAGAAGATGGTGGAGCGGCATGATGACATGGTTGTGACGTCACTCAATGTGCATCGCCTGCTCATTACAACCGTCATGGTCGCCGCGAAGTTTCTCGATGACTCGTAAGTGCTTCCATGCGAATTTTCTGCCACATTTGGTAGGATAACAAAGAACAACAATAGTGCAAACAAAGAAGAGACCATGACACCACATCTTGTTCAGCGATTATTGAAATGCCACTGTAGATTGAACTTCATCTCCTGGCCGTTCAGCCTAGTAATGTGCACCCATGACCTCATCTCAGCAAGTTTCCTATTTCTTTCCGTTTCATCTCCGTTCAGGTACTTCAACAATGCGTACTACGCCAAAGTCGGCGGAGTCACAACCGCCGAGATGAACCGTCTGGAGATGGAGCTACTGTTCCGCTTGGACTTCCGCGTGAACGTTACAACTGAAGCCTTCTACGCGTACTGCAAGAAGCTTGAAGCGGAGCTGTGGCAATCAGAGGTCGCCTTCGACGCAGCTTCCGTCATTGACATGTCAGCACTCACAATGTTCAAGGGTGCCCACGGCAATGTGGCTCGTACGCATCCGTACGAGTGTCAAGCAGCGTACGAGAAGGGCGTACAGACACCGCCGCGGGAGGTGGAATCGTACCGGTGCCCAGCTGTAACGGCTCGGGTGTTGCCTGAGTCCCCTTGAGCGCTCGTCGGTTCATCTGACGGTCACTGACACTGACTGTACTAACCCCCGAGCTTGGCTGACGCTCAGCTTGTAACCTTGTTTGCTTGCGTGTGTTTGTGCTGGCTGCGTGAGTTCGTCATTTATTTTGATAATATAAGCGGAGTTTAGCTTATGGTAGTTTCTTTCGCGCTCTGCACCTCGCATCTCTTGTATGGCACTGATTCTAATAACACGTGCCTGAGCGCATGTAGGGTTAGCATCGACTTATGTTCAGGTAAAGAGGAAAATGTTTACCATCACGAACAACGTATGCCACATTTTCCAGCTTGAACAGAGTATTGTAAGTTTCATGTGGGTATGAAACGTACGTACCGGTAGTATGGAAGCACTTCCATAGATACGGTATGCTGAGCACTGCTCATGTGATGGGGATGGATTTCTTCTCTGGGCATCATTGCTGGTGCAGAATTTACTGCAACCATTAAAAACTGTAACTCCACAACATATCGGTACAATGGAAGACTGAACCCTTCTGGAAGTATCCTCCAAGGTGTATTGAGTCAGCTTGATGTTCTGCCACTACCAGGCTTATGCAAGCCTCGATGTTTGTGCCTTAGGATGGTTTCCTCCAGACATGAAAATGTACGTGTAGAAGGCCACCATGAAAATGCTGCACGAGGGAGCAAGCACACAGCCAAAGAGGGGAGCACGTTGACAACAATAACAAAACGCGGTAACAGTGACAGAAAGCAACTGCAATGCAAATTGGTAACCCATTTTTCCTTTTAAACCATAGCCATATGCGGTGCGCCTGAAAAAAAATAGTCGAGTTAAACACGAGCGCCAACATGCATGGTGGAGGCGACTTAGCATGGCATACCTTGCAAGTGCAGCCAAGCCAGTTGGGAAGAGTGCCTTGGTCTGACAAGTGAGCACATCAGCACAAACGGAGAGGAATGTGAATTAACATGTAAGCTAATTTGGACGGACAATAGCAGGAAGTGTTGAATAGACCTATTCGTCAGTAAACATGTACCACTGCCCAGACACAGAAGGCTAGTTGCATGCGTAATCTAAGTCAAGAACACAAAGAGAAAGAGCAGGGCACAAGAGAAAACAGCATCAAGAGCGTACCACAGCGAAGCGAGTTGCTTCATTGATGAACACAAAGCTTGAAAGCACTGCAGGGAAAAGAAAAAGAACAAAACACATGACGGGGTGAAAAATATGAGCGAAATTAGAGCAGCTACTTCATAAACCATTGAGCTTTTATGCTCATAGTGCCCTGTTCGCGTTGGAAGAGAAACGCCACACAGCCAGACAAGATTGAATGCCTCCAAATGAACTTTACAGAAATACGAGTTACTCACCTCCTTGAATAGCAATGTACAGAGCGGAAGGAAGGTTATTCTGCCACGCATGGAGGCTGGAGATGCTACACGCGAGAATAATACCCCCAATGATCATGCCAAATCGAAGGGCGTTGACGCTTCCTGCCAGAGTGAACCAGGTCACCCCTCCGACCACCAGCAGAGCACCTGAAGACAAACAGCAAGGCAGTTTGAATGAGAAATAACCCAAGTGACCTATACAAGACAAAAACAAATAGCACAAGGACATGATACGCAATCAACAAATAGCAATCACAGCTCAGTGACTCAGGATGGTGGAGGGTGAGATAGCGACCTACCATATGGGATTCCCAGACAGAAGTCATGAATCACAGCTCCTCTCCTGATAGCGTCCTTAGAATGTGATGACACGGCTGTCTCCACAATCTCCCTGATCGGTTCTGGGGCGTCTTTAGCCACTGCAACAATCTGCTCCTTATTCTCTTCCACGTGATTCAGCGCTTCTTCTAACTGATTCGACGCTTTCTCCGCCTGCTCCTTAATCTGCACCTTAGCCTTCTCAGCTTGGATTATAAGTTGCTCCGCCAGAATCTCGGCCTTGTGCCTCACCTCTGCTGCTGCTTGCTGGGTTTGCACCTGAAGCTCTTGCAGCTCATCGGGGGTTGGAAGTTTAACCTTGTCTTCAATAGCATGAGCAGCGTCTTCTAAGGCGTGCGAAGCGTCTTCCGTAATCTTCTGGAGGGTCTTGGAGGCTTCAGACGCGATTTTCTGGAGCTCCTCCTTGACCTTGTTATCCTGGATGGTGGAGAGTTGCTTAGAAACAGAGGTTGAAAACCCACCCTCTCAATGACAAAATCAAAAGAAAGAACATCACTCTTTTTCCTCTCTCTCAATCTACCAGAACAAGTTGCCAGGCACAATGGCTTACCTCGGCTACAGCTCGAACTCCGTGAACCTTTCGATGGCGCAGCGTTGGTCCAGCTGAAGAACGGAACGATACTGAATTTCCAGCAAAACTTCCGGTCAAGCTGGTCGATAATCGGCCGACCTGACCGCCTGCCAAAACCCCTGCCCTCAAACAAGCAGCCATGTTGGATATCGTCGCTAGTGCAAGTACTGGGAACAGCGAACGCGTCGCCTATATTAACAACCACAGAGGCGAGGAGGCTTTTCACTACACGATCTTCAGAACCCGTAAGAACTTGGAGATAGCAATATTCAAGAACCTAAGGTACCTAAGATGGTGGAAGAACAAACTAAGCTTGCGGATTTTACGCGAAGAAACAAAATCAAGCAAAGCACAAAACAAAGAATCCAGGACGAAACACTCGAGGAACGCATTCGGTTAAGAGGTACATACACTCACGAACATTTGCGACATGTTACTTGGTTTGAGTGTGTTCGAGGATCTGCCACCCTTCAATAGAACGGACCCACGAAACTATAGCGAGGTAGAATCAGCTTCGCGAACCGCAGGGCCACATTTCAGGAAAAGAGGGCCCACGTAAGCAAAAGCGCCAGGGGATGGGGGACATATGTGGCTGCCCCTCGTTTGATGGGGCACGCAGTCAGCCGAAGCACCGAAGGGAGCTCCTGGCCTCCTCTGATTGGCAGATGGAGAAACCGAACCTGGCTTCGACTTCCGGCCATTTGCTGACGAGATTGGAGCAGACAGAGGAAACATTGTGCAAATCTCTTGAAAGTGGGATCTGCATACGCGTTGTAAATATTCACCAACAGCAAAAGTTTTGCATCTCAACAAACTAATTACCCAGTCTCTTCTGCCCACTCCGCAACCGGTGTACTTCCGCTTATTTCTTGCTGACGAGAATCTTCATCTGGTTTTGAATCTCCTGATAATCCTTGCTCTTTAAATTCTTCTCGACCAATAAAAGAATGATTCGACGCAAGTTCTTGCACGATAGTCGGCTCCACTGCCATCTGGAGAAACATGCAAGCGTAAAAAAGAAACCACAACACATGCCACAGGAAAAAGTGCATGAAGAGCAGTGAAGCGATGATAAGTTGGGATCCCTTCCCACCTCCCTCACACAATCGCCTGCAGTCGACCAAACTCTGCCTGGAGCTGCCTGAGCGCCACACGATAAGCCTGCCTTCCCACAATCCCCCCCCCCCCCCCCCCCCCCTTCCCTTTAACTTCCCAATCTCTACCCAGTTCCTTCCCCCCTTCCCCATATAATCACCTGCTTCGCCTGCAGCCGACCAAACTCTGCCTGGAGCTGCTTCAATGTCAAACCACCCCCCTGCATCCGCACCTCTCCCTTCAACCTCCCAATCTCCGCCCGATCCTCCTCCCGGGCCGCTTTCACCTGCGCCAGATCAGCCTGGGTCTGCTCTAGTGAGGCGCGCAGCTGTGCCCGCTCCTGCGCCCACTGCTGCATGGCACTGGTTACCATTGCAAGGCTCTGCTGCACTGTTGCTGCTAAACCAGCCATGGCGTTGGCATCATTTTCTCCTCCTACTGCTGCTGCTGCCGCTGCTACTGCCTGCTGCTGCTGTTGTTGCTTCTGCTGCTCTTGCTCCTGCTGCTGTTGCTGCTTCTGCTGCTCTTGCTGCTTCTGCTGCTCTTGCTGCTGCTGCTGCTCCTGCTGCTGTTGCTGCTGCTGGTACTGCTCCTGTTGGTGATACGGATTCTGCAGTTGCGGGTGCATCTGTGCTTGCATTGATGCCTGTGCCCACCATTCCTGTTGCTGCTGTTGCTCTTGCTGCTGCTGCTGCTGCTGCTGTTGCTGCTGTGGAGGGTAGCTACCACCATAACCAGCACTTTCTGTGCCAGCCATGGGCATAGGCATAGGCATGGGCATGGCCATATTCATGGGCATATTCATGGGCATGGGCATGTGCATGGGCATGGGCAAGGGCATGGGCATGGAAAACGGAAAGGGGTAGCTGCCAGGGGTACAAGGGTATTGGTTGGGGGGATACGCGAGGGCATAGTATGCCATTGGGGCTGTTGCTGCAGAGATCTGTGCCTCTGGTGTTGCCACTGGTAAGGATGGTGATGCTGCTGCTGCTGGTGCTGCTGCTGGTGCTGGTGCTGCTATTGCTGCTGCTGGTGCTGCTGCTGGTGCAGGTGCTGCTATTGCTGCTGCTGCTGCTGTTGCTGTTGGTGCTGGTGCTGGTGCTGGTGCTGGTGCTGGTGGTGCTGCTGGTGGTGGTGCTGCTGCTGGTATCATTGCAGGTGCTGCTGCTACCAGCTGGCCTGCTGCTGCTACCAGCTGGCCTGCTGCTGCTGCTGGTGATGATGATTGGAGCGGTGCTGTTGCTGGTGCTGGCGGTACTGCTGTTGCTGGCAATACCCCTGTTGCTACAGCTGCTGTTGCTGCAGAAGTCACAACTGCTGCTCCTTCTGTCATGGTTGCTGCATCTGTAGCCACACCTTTCCGCCCAGAGTCCTCCTTTTTCGACCCAGGAACATGTGCAGACTTGGCCGCTCCCTTATCCCTTTTCCCACCACTGGTAGCAGCAGCACCAGCACTACCCCCATCACTACCACCGTTACTATCACCACCACCACTATCATCACCACCAGTATCACCGCCATCACTATACCCACTGCCATTGCTTTCACTATCGCTATCATCTGCACTTGATGTTGCAGGTGGTGCTGATACTGCTGCTGATACTACTGCTCCCGATGATGATGCTTCTGCTGGTATTGCTGACGTGGTTGAAACCTCAGGAAGCTTCGGGTCCTTGCCCGTACTAGAATTGCCACCACCACTGGAGGGCTGCAGCCAGGCTCGGATCGCCGCCGAAGCTGGTGCCGAGCCTGTTTTCGGGCGAGGCTTGGGAACGATCAGGTCATCGGGTTTACCTGTGGGTTTCTCACTGCCTGCCTTCTTAGAACCTTCCTTTCCCAGCGAATCTTTGACAGGGGAAGATGTAACAGGAGCAGATGTAACCCAAGGAACAGCAGGGGCGTTGACTTTGGTTGACCCACTAGAGCTAAGAGAAGATGAAACCCAAGGCACAGCGGATGCGTTGACTTGGGTTGACTGAGCAGGACCGGGAACAGACGAAACCCAGGCGTTACGGGATGGGGCGTTCCCTCCCACTCTAGGCCCAACCCATGGCCCAGGCCCGTGTCCAGGTCCGGGGCCAGGTCCAGGGCGAGGTCCGGCACCAAACCCTGGACCATTTTGAGGTCCAGGTTTGAAGGGAGGCTCGGAATTGGACCAAGATCCGGGCCCGGGTCGAGGTTCGGGGCGGTTCCAAGATCCAGACTTGGATGGAGGTCCGGAATCAGATGAATATTTAGGTCCGGATGGCTTGGAAGGTCCGGCATGAGGTCCGGAATGAGGTCCGGGAGGAGGAGCAGAGGAATGCCAAGGTGGTTGGGAGGATGAAGCGGCAGAGGAGGAGTTGGAGGAGGAAGAGGAGGAGGGGCGGGGAAGGGGTTTGTGCGGTGAAGCTGTGGGAGGAGGAAGGGGATTCAGAGGCGGATGAGAGGAATGATGGGGAAATCCAGTTGACGGCTGAGTGAGAGCAGGTTTTTGAGCCGAACCAAACGACGCACTAGGGCGGGGGGGAGCAGCGGCAGGGGTGTGCTTGCGGTAGAGAGCGAGGAGCTTCTGAGTCTGCTGGTGGTCTAATTCGAAAAAGAAGTGAGTGGGAGAGTAATAATCGAGGGCCGGGCCGTAGGCGGTCTCAGGGAGAGGCGAGCACCTGTGGCGCAGACGGACTTTCACCTGAGAGGGAGGGGGAGGGAGGAGGAGCAGGGGGAGGGGAGGGGGGAGGGAGAGGGGGAGAAAGAAGGGTGAGCGTGAGCGGGTGTGCGAACCGAGTCAGAGGGCATGCTAGGGTGGGAGGGAGCAGTGGCAGGGGTATGCTTGCAGTAGAGAGCGAGGAGCTTCTGGGTCTGCTGGTGGTCTAATTCGAAAAAGAAGTGCGTGGGAGAGTAGTAGCTGGCTGATAGGGCTGGGCCGTAGGCGGTCTCGGGTAGAGGGGAACACCTGTGGCGCAGACGAGCCTTCACCTGAAAGGGGGGAGAGAGGAGGGGGAGAGGGAGGGGGAAAACAGAGGCAAGGCAGAAGCGAGGAAAGGCAGGTTGAAGCGTGAAGCAGGTGTGCCTGTTGGGTCTGCTGGTGGTCTATGTGTGGGAGAGTAGTAGTTGGCTGATAGGGCCGGGCTGTAGGTGGTCTCGGGTAGAGGGGAACACCTGTGGCGCAGACGAACCTTCACCTGAGAGGGAGAAGGGGGGAAGGAGGGGGAGGGGGAGGGGGAGGGGAGGGGGAGAAGGAGGGCAAAAGAGAGGAAGACATAACGGAGGAGGAAGGGCAAAAGAGAGGCAAGGCAGAAGGGAGGAAAGGCAGGTTGAATCTTGAAGCAGCAGGTGTGTCTGCTGGTGTTGGAGCTCGGACATGAAGTGCGTGGGAGAGTAGTAGTTGAGGGGAGGAGGAGGGCAAACAGAGACAAGGCAGGAGAGGAAAGGCAGGTGGGTCTGCTGCTGGTGGTGGAGCTCGAGCATGAAGTGTGTGGAGGAGTAGTAGTTGGCTCGTAAGGCCGGGCCGTAGGCGGTCTCTGGTAGAGGGGAACACCTGTGGCACAGACGAACCTTCACCTGGGGGAGGGAGGAAGGGGAAGGAGGGAGGAGGGATGGCGAGCAGGCATGTTGGAGGGAGAAAAGGCAGGTTGAAGTAAGTAGCTAGCAGGTGTGCCTGTTGGGTCTGCTGCTGGTGGTGGAGCTCGAACATGAAGTGTGTGGGAGAGTAGTAGCTGGCTGATAGGGCCGGGCCGTAGGCAGTCTCGGAGAGAGGCGAGCACCTGTGGCGCAGACGAACCTTCACCTGGTGGGAAGGGAAGCGGGGAAAAAAGGAGGGAAAAGGAAACAAAAGAGGAAAGGCAGAAAGGAGGAGCAAACGGCGCAAGACACGAGGGAGGAAAGGCAGGTGGGTCTGGTGGTCTAACTCGAAAAAGAAGTGCGTGGGAGAGTAGTAGTTGGTTGATAGGGCCGGGCCGTAGGTGGTCTCGGGTAGAGGGGAACACCTGTGGCGCAGACGAACCTTCACCTGGGGGGGGGGGGGAAGGAGGGGGAAGGGGGGTTGGGGGAAGGGGGGAGGGGGAAGGGGGAAGGGGAGGAGGGGGAGAGTGAAGTGAAGGAGGACTCGGGAAGAGGGGAACACCTGTGGCGCATACGAACCTTCACCTGGGGGGGGGAGAGGGGGAGGGGGGAGGGGGGAAGGGGGAGAGTGAAGGAGGTCTCGGGGAGAGGCGAGCACCTGTGGCGCAGACGAACCTTCACCTGAGAGGAAGAGGGGGGGGGGGGGGGGTGGTGTAGGGGGAGGAGGGTAGGGGAGAGGGAAGGAGCTTCTGGGTCTGCTGGTGGTCTGATTCGAACATCCAGTGGAGGCATGCATGCCGGGCCGGGAGAGAGAGAGGCATGCCGGGAGAGAGAAATCGAGGCACCGGGGAAGAGAGGGGGACGGACCCTGGGGGAAACAGCAGGGAAGAGAGGCGGAGCCCATGGCGGGCCACCAGAGGAGAGAGACCAGGAGAGAGCAAGATGGGTACCTGGGCGGGGAATCTGGTCTGGCCGCCATTCTTGCCCGTCCAGCCATGCGGGTCGATCTCCAAATCTCCGTAGCTCACTGCCTCAAAGATCCCGTGTAAGCGGCGGTCCGAGTAGTTGAAGAGGAAGAGAGGCATGCCGGGAGCAATGTTCTGAACGTACTCCATGTGGTTGTAGGGCAGGCCTGGGAGGGGGGAGTGGGGAGAAAGAGGAGGGAAACGAGGGAGGAGATTTCGCACTTTCAGCCATTTCAAAGAAAAAGAGAGGCATGCCGGGAGCGATGTTCTGAACGTACTCCGTGAGGTTGTAGGGCAGGCCTGGAAGGGGAAGAGAGAGACGGGAGGGAATTGAGATCAAGAGCACTTTCCGAATTCATCCAAGAAAAAGAGACCCATGCCGAGAGTGATGTTTTGAACGTGCTCCACATGGCTGCAGGGCTGGCCTGCGAGGATAATTAGGAGGTAATAGAAAGGATAACATTTTTTTTACACCCTCGTTTCTCTGTTGAACGTCTAGATACTCGCTATCAAAACTTGGGGGGGGGACTTGGGGGACTTGGGATAACACTCACCGAATAGCTCTTTTGTGACACATTCCGAAAACGTCTCCTTGGTGCATCCGAACACGCAACCCCCCAGCTGCTCCCGCGGCAACAGGCGGAACTGCACGCGCTGATGGCGCGACGATTCTTTTGCCGTGTCATACTGATACGTCGTGGTCTTTCGGCCAGCACCCATCTTCCTTCACTCAGCTTCCAATATAAATTGCAATTTTATTAGTTGGAGGACAAGCCGATAAATGTCTTGCAAAAAAGAGAAAAATCCTGTCGTTCAATCAACGTAGCTCTAATTCGTGAAGACCAAACGGCGAAGTAGCGCTGACTGCAGACGACAGTAACAATAAAACAAGTAATCTTGAAATGCGGTGTGCACTACGCTTGAATCTGTAAATGAGAATGCACTTTTTTGTTGATACACGGTGAAAGCACGGAATCGCATCGCGGGTGACGGCCAGATGTTGAACGCACAGTGTCAGGGAGGGATTATATAGAAAAATTAGCGACGCCAAAGAAACACGAAACCGCGTGTGAGATATCTGCAAGGATACACGGGAAAATGAGTAGCCGCTTCTTGTCAGCCATGGCCATGCGACCAGAAGTGGGACGAATGAATGTGATAAGCATCAACCAGAAATTCTGTGAGTACAAACAGACAGTTAAAAGAGTTGGGAATGCCTACACGCAGGACTTTCTGTAACGAAAGTTTTCCAGCCAGAATAGCCTCATGTTTTCGGGAGGAGGCAAGCACCATCAGCGCTTCATTATGTGCTTCACAAATATGGTAGGACACAGCCATTTTGCATGTATAAACATCACCAACTTGATACCTGCCTAGGTTGTTACGACCTCCAAGCCCAGATTATAAGACATCCCATTTGCAAGCATTCTAAAGTGGCGATTAGGATAAACAAATGGCAGTTAATAATGGGCATGAATAAACCATGATGCTAATCCTGTTGCTAACAGTCATCCTTTGGTAAAAAGGGAGATGAAGTACACTGCCATTGGGAAAGAAGATGCAAGAGAACCTCCACAAACCAAAAGGACACACCTCTCCAAACTGAACCCTGCACTTCCCTCCCACCAGAATAAATCCGTCCACGTCTTGCTGCCTAAGGGTGGTTCTTATCCCCTGCACTTACAACTCCATCCCCAACTCCAAACTCTACACAGCTTTTCCAAGCCAAAAAGGACACGACTTGGACTACCGGACTTCCTCAATCACCCATTCATCTCAACATTTCCACCACACATTCCACTCCACCCAAGTCCACGCCTCCCAGAAGCACGAGGATATGCCCCATTTCTCGGACTGAGCAGTGCACTAAGCCAGCCATTCAACTGACCTTGCACCAACCACTCCAGTCCCTTCACCCTTTGACGCACCCCATCCCCCCAAACTACCCCATCCCCAGGTCCTTGATTTCCACTCCTCTCCCCACTGCTGCCATAACCCAAATTACCTTCCCAGTGTTTATTCCTGGTTCCGCGACTTCATCTAGCTGTTGCTGACCACCTCTGGATGGTAGTACAGCATCTCTTGCCATACCTTTTCACGCAACGCCGCCTCCTTAAGATCCTCGTCCTCAAAGTCGAACTCAAACGGCGCCGGAGCAGACGGCTCCACAGCAGGATCATGAAGCATGGACAGGTACGGATGCTCCAAAGCCTCTTCCACAGTGATACGCTTGTTCGGGTCAAACACGAGCATCCGCTCAATCAGGTTGATGGCCAGAGGGTTGGCCCTGGGGTAGAGGCGAGAGAGCGAGACTCTGGGAGTGTACGGCAACGAACGGATGTAGCTGCGAGCTTTTTGGCTGGAAATGAAATGAAGGTCGTCTTCGTCAGGCGAACCAATCAGGTTGATGATCAGCTTCAGCTGATGGATGTAATCCTTTCCAGGGAAAAGCGGCTTCCGTCCCAGAAGCTCCGCGAAGATGCAGCCAACGGACCACATATCAATGGCGAAGGTGTACTCGTCGCAGGAAAGCAGCAGCTCGGGAGCACGGTACCACCGAGTCACGACATACTCTGTCATGAAACCCTTCTCGCTTCCCGTGCGAGCGAGACCGAAATCACAGATCTTGAGGTCGCAACTGGCATTGAGGAGGAGGTTGCTGGGCTTGAGATCTCGATGCAGCACATTGGCCGTATGGACATACTTGAGACCGCGGAGAAGCTGGAAAATAACACGCACATACGGGGATTGTAATTAGGAGTTCATTATGTTCCGACATGTATATAACTATATGCGGAATGGAGTTGTGAATCAGAGCTTTTTAATGTTGCCAGATCCTGAAGTTCGAACCTCAAATTGCAAAAAACAATAATGAACCAGGCAGCCTGACAAAATTGAATATGAAACAAGCTATATTGAACTTGAAATGGAATAGATTGTAAAGAACAAACAGTTACCTGATAGATAAAGTACTGGCAGTGGTCGTCTGTCAGAGCCTGGGACGACCGGATGATCTGGTGAAGGTCTGTATCCATGAGCTCATACACGACGTACACATCATTGAAAGTGAACCTGTCCGGAGGAGGCATAATGTCCTTCACTGCGATAATGTTCTCATGGTACAGGTGCCGAAGGAGCCTAATTTCACGGAGAGTACGACGAGCATCAGTCGCATTTTCGAATGCATTGCTGATTTTCTTGATGGCCACTTTTTCCCCTGAATCCGCGTTTCTCGCTGAGCACACGACGCCATAAGCTCCCTTGCCAATGGGCTTGATCGGAGTGTACTTGGCGTCTATCTCAAACAGCGTTCGCCACAGCATGAACTGGTGCTTCCCCGGTGGACAAGTCCCCACAGGGGGTTCCACCTTTGTGGCCATCTTACTGCTACTGCTTTGGCTCGCCAGTTTGTCTAGCTTTATGAATACCCAAAAAACAAAGAAAATAACCCCTGCCTCAACGACACCAGGGGAAGAAGAAAAGTGACAGCTTGCCGGCAATCGCGTACAAATTATCGAGCCGGACTACACAGGCGGCTCCCAGCTAGACACCTTCAATCTAGCTGAGTTTCCAGAAATGCGGATAGAGCAGAAATTGGAGGACTTGGTGATGGTTGGCAGGTTGGGGGCATTGGCGCAAGTTTGGGATGATTGGCTTGATAGGGATAAGGGGAGTGCGCGCATGTCGCGCAAGGCTTGCGGAACCTTGCGGGCAAAATGCCTGTGGAAGAAGCCGCTCCATGAGGGCGACAGCTGGCGCACACTGCGGAAAGCGCACACCTCTCAACTCAACCAACTGTTTGCGGTAGGGGAACAAGGGGAGGTGCGGTGAAGGCAAAGGGGGGAATGTCCGCTTACGCGCGCGGGATGTGGATTGTGATGTGACGGGTGGTTGGGGGACGAGGGGGGCAACAAGCAACCTCACGCTTCTTCCCCCACTACCTCAACGAACTCGACCACTTCGCAACCCCACCCACAACCCGCACCGATATTCATGCGACGGCTGAAAAACGATCTCCGCCGTTCAGAAAACACGTGACCGAATCGACGGTAGCCATTCTCGACAGGGGAATGTGGTTTGGTCCATCGTCGCCTTAGCGGAGAAACGACATTGACAGGGAAACCACATACGGTATAGTTACTTGACATTGAAAAGTTCCTGACTGAAACCGAATTCGATCATTCAAGAGAAAAAATAACAAATCCAATCTGACACATAACCCCTCAAGTAGCCACCCTGTCTACTACGGTAAATAGTTGGTGATAATTAACCCACCGAACAGGCTTCATTATTGGGAGAACAACATATTAAGCAGTCTAATTGCCAGATGGAAACACTGGTATGTGGGGAGTAACGAGAAAACATGCTTTTATGCAACTTGCTTCGCACCATCAGCAATAAGCTGCTTAATCTCGTCATCAGACGCCCTGTCAAGTGCAGTCCTGCCGTCCATATCTTTCACAGTGCCGTTTGCACCAGCACGAAGCAACTCCTGGATTTTTGGCTTATCACCCTCAGAAGCAGCCATCATGAGGAGAAGGTCCACAGGGTGAATGCCTGTGTTCAGGAGCTTTTCCATCTTGTCATACGTGCCCTCCACAGCCAGCATACCCATGTAGTTGTAGTACTGCCAATAACAACATGAATGCACAAAGAAACAAAAGACAGAAATGAATCGATCACGGGAACACGGGATTTGACCATGCCTGACAGACTATGTCACGTGACTTCGACCTGTCAATCAGCAACTCTGACGCTTCGGTCTTCGATTCGGTGCTTCGACCTGAGTTCAATCTTGCCTTCGCTCACTCTATACACCCTTAGGTCCATGAACCACTTCGACCACGCGTACCCAATAATCTCCCCTAATTTACTTGGCTAATCCATCCCCAGCGTCTAGTTCAGGCGCTTCCTCCCAATTGTGTCCACTCTCCAGACGATCGATTGCGTCCATAAAAATGAATTCTTTCACTCCAGTTTATTGGCCTGTCGTCATCTGTTTTCGAACCTGAAGCAAAGTTTCCCGAATCCCACTTCCAAATCACGAACCATATGTGTTGTGAAGAAAAAAAGGGGGCCGCAAAGGGCAGTCTTACGTGTTCAACGTCGTCTCTGTCGAAGTCATCCCGACCTTGACTGCCGTAGATACCCGACGACTCTGCATCGAGGCCATTCTTCCCGAATTTGAACCACGCCGAGATTCTCGATCCAGCGGCAACGTTAGCGCCCAGGCGCTGCTTCAGCGCGGCAGAGCGCACTGCGGAAAGCGGAGAAGCGAACGAAACACAAACGAGTGTATAATATAATGACGGTGAGCCAGTGTGTTAATAAAAGCTAGAGTTGGTGTGACCATCACGATTCCCTCCTCCACATCCGAGGCTGCTTTATGCATTCCCCTAACGCGGAGATGCACTAAAAGATGGCCAAAAATTGGATAGTGCAGGGAGCTGGGAAGACTGCGTACCGAAAGATGATTGCCTGAAAGACTGGACACGTGCGTTCGTGGAAGCTAGTCGCAGCGACGCGAGGGTCGCAGAGACGTGGGAGATGGCAGTGCTGGACGACATCCTGTAACTTTTGCGAAATTCGACAGCGACAATGTTCAAGTATGAAGTTGTCCACTGAGGTAAGACTACAGAAGTGAAGGATGTCAGCACGAATGTTGCTTGCTACTCCAGGGTAATGTCCAGCAACTTGTGATCAAGGTTCTTGACTAGCGTTTGCTGCTACGCAACGCACGTACGCTGGGGGAAGCTGTTCTGTGCCTGGCGGTGTACTGTGCACATCACAGCGACCCACAAGCTTGGCGCGGTCTGTGGAGACTGGGGCGGAACGGAGCCGGGGAAGCTTCACTCGCAGGGGGTGCGCACAAATCCCTCGCCCCTTTTCTTGCCTTGGGAGTGGCGCGGGATTGTGTTCCGCAACAAAGCAAAAGGTAATGACGACCACGAACCAGCCAGAGCCACGTGGTGCCGAATCCACGTCGGAACTCCCAATGTTTCATGAATGTTATGGATCAGTCGGTGCTTCATTACAAGACGAAGGACTTCAGGCATTGTATATCTTCGGTGGATATTTGATGATATGTTTTCAGCTATTTGATGGCTGTTGTTGATTGGTATTTGATTCTGTTTTGTTTTGCACAATCATTGTCATACGAAATATACTTCTGACATTCCGGGAGTCAGAGCTGGTTGTAACGAATACGACGGGCATTACAGCTGGTGGATTTCTGCCAATGGTGGCAGACCCAGCAGCATTCTAGTGTGCCGGACTGGACTACCGAAGAGTGCGAGCTACTTCGTTTCAACATAGCTACCTTGGTCTAAGAATGTGACATGATGACTAAACAATTACGCGACAGTATGGCTCTGCACTCGCAGCACTGACCCGACACTGAACCCGTTCTGGTCGCGTCGACCTAAAACGCCAATAATCAGTTACAGGTTCACAGAAATGGACGGCTTTGATGATAATCCGTTCGCCACAGGCGACGACGCTCAGCCGTTCGTTGCTGGAGGCGGGAAGAAGCCCGCAGGCACGCAATTCCCCGTCAACCCGTTCTCATTGCCACCCGAGACTCTTGTACCCGTTAAGAAGCACACCGGCACCAGCGCTAGTACCAGGGTCACGGACGCGAGAAGTACTACGAATAGCAGCACCGCAGATTCCGCTCGGTCCTCGGCAATCCCTGAGGATTGGCTTGACACGTGGACCGGATTGAGCTCATCCGCTTCCACATTCACCTCTACAGTCACATCCACGGCCTCCACCGCTAGCAGAAGCACAGCCAACACTTTCGCTACAAGCTCGCCTTTTGCTACTGCTGACGCCTTTGGTGCTTCTAATTCTAGCTCAGCAACTCGTCTCGACGGAAAACGAGCTGATACTTTTCCACCAAGCACAACTGACGCACTCGCTACAGGCACATTCGCTCGTGGATCCGACCCCCAGTTACAGTCACAAATTGATCCTTTGGCAGCAGCGCAGCTAGCCATGGGTTTTCTTCGAGCGGTGCAGGGGGCTTCTGGCGTTGGAGGGGCGATGGGAGCATCTGTAGCCGGGCGAACAGGAGGAGCAGAACAAGCGCGTCCTGCCACGTCAGCAGCAACTTTTCCAGTTTCCACGTCAGCAGCAAAGGTTCCTATTTCTGCCTCAGCAACAGCAGCAGGAGCAGGAGCAGGAGCAGCAGGAGCAGCAGCAGCAGGGACAAAGAGAGACGGAACAGAAGCCACTGCGGATCCGTTTGCATTTCTGGACAACACTCCACTGGGGGTTACGAGTAGCATTACTCCAAAAGACACCAGCACCAGCTTTTCAGAGCAGAACCAGCAGAAGGACGATGTCTTTGGATTCGATCCATCCCCGTTTGTGGCATCCTCGTCACCATTATTCGGCTCCAGTACTCCCATCCTACCTCCAGACCCAGACCTTGCATCAGACCCTTTCTGGACCTCGATATCGTCACAACCCCCCACAGTCTCGTCACAACACTCCTCGGTATTGTCACAGGACCCCTTTAATATAACTCCAAACAGTACCCTCTTCCACACTGGAAGGACTGGCTCTGCGCAGCCTCCTCTCATGGACCTTTTGGGAGAGCCTTTGGTCGAACCCACAAACTCTACTACTGATGCCGCTGTTGCTGCTGCTTCCGCTGCTACTGCTGGTGCTGTGGGTGCTGCTACTGCAGGTGCTGCTGCTGCTGCTGTCGGTGGCACAGGCCCTATAGCCAGAACCGAACTGATGCGTGCTTCTGCTGCAGCAGAGACGGCTCATGACTTGACCTTCCTCGAACGCTTCTCAGCTTCCCCTGTTGCCTCGAAGGAAGAATATTCTGGTTTTGCCGATGTTGCTGGAACGGCTGGTGCTACTGGTGCTGGTGTTGCTGGTGTTGCTGGTGGCAGTGCTGGTGGTTTCGATGGGTTTGGGGACTTTTCGGATCTTGGTCTGCCTGCAGTTGTGGTCCATGCTTCTGCTGCTGCTCCTGCTCCGGCTACTGCTCCACCTGCTGCAGCTGCTACTCCTGGTGTTTCTGCTGCTGCAGAGCCTCTCTTTCCCGCTTTCCAGACAGCTTATAACTCAACCCCGTTGCAGGAAGCTCAGCAGGAGGGGAAATGGCAGGATAAGAGGGGGGAGAAGAGGGAGGCAAAGGGAGAGGCAAACGGAGGGGTGGGAAGAAATGAACTGGGGGGCCGAGACAAAATCAATGACACTGACACCCGCAGGGCTGGTGATGATGACGTCACCAGCATCCCAGTGCTGGCGTCATCATCATCTCCTGCTGCTGTCGTTGAGTCGAAGTATATCTCTTCACTTCCCCCTGTAAAATACGACAGCCCTGCAGGGAAGCTTCCCAGAACCATCTTTGATGCGCCCACGCGAATGCCTGTTGACCCGAACCGGCCGGTTCCGCTTGTGGTGTGCCCCAAGTCTAGGGGAGAGGCTCGGGCGGAGGTTCGGGCAGGGGAAGGAAGGGGGAGGGAGGGCGGAAAGGCATCCCCATCTGCTGCAGTGTCTGCACCTGGGGCCTCTGGTTTTACTTCCGGTTTCACCACTCCTCCCTTGCCTTACTCCTCTCAATCCGTATCCTCATCCTTACTATCCTCGTCCCCACCTCTATCCTCGTTATTGGCTGTTCCACAATCATCATCAATATCTGCGTCTCTTTCCTCATCTTCCGACCTATCACCCATGTCGTCCTCGTCGTCGTTACTGCCACATTTGTCCTCCTCCTCCTTACCATCGCCATCGCCAGCAACAGCAGCAACAGCGGCAGCGGAAGCAGACGCAGCAGCAGCAGCAGCAGCAGCTGAAGCGAATTTGACTGGGCCAGATGCGGGTGGCAAGGGTTGTCTGCTTGTGGCAGTGGGGAGTGTGGCGGTGTGTGTGACTGATGACGGCCTGAGGGCATGGGACATGCGGCAGGCCATGCTACCTGATGCAGCAGGGGGAGAAGCGAAAGTAGGAGCAATAGGAGAAGCCAAGGCGGGAGCAGCAGGAGCTGCCAAAGAGGGAGCAACAGGAGAATACAAAGCAGGAGCTCCAGGGGGATTTGACACATCAGTGGCAGCAGCAGCAGATTCTGAAGGCGTAGCACCAAAGAATACGGAATATTCACAGTTAAAGAGACCATCAAAGCCCCTTTCTCGCTTGGGTTCTGACGCTGCCCCGTTTGTCTTTGTGCCGTTCCGAGGCCTTGCAGCCCGAGCCAAGAGCATAGCCTCAGACGACAGGCTCGGCGTGGTGTTCACAGGGCACAAGGACGGGCGCGTGCTAGTATGGAGGGTGCTACTAACAGGACGGGGAACAAAGGGAACAAAGGGAGGCACAGGAGGAGGCACGGGAGAAGACACAGGAGGAGGTGCAGGAGTGACGGCAGCTGGAGGAGCAAAGGAGTTCAAAAAAATGTTGGGAATCGGGCTGCGTGATCCTGGAGTGCAGGTGGCACTGGTGGCGGACTGGCAGGCCCATACAGCCACTGTGACTGCTCTGGTCGTCACTCCCTATGGTGCGTACCCAAATCCTGCCTATGCATATGTATGGTGTGCTTTCTGAGTCGATAAAAAAAAGACTGGCAGGCGCATACAGACAGCCACCGTGACTGCTCTGGTCGTCACTCCCTATGGTGCGTTGTGTACCAGGCAGGGGTGGCATCGTCTCCTTTATTTGTTAAAAAAACCTCTAATTATTTGTTGCCTCGTGTGAAAAGATGGCCTTTGAGATGCATTCTTGCTACTCCAGAATAATCTCCAGACTTCTTTGGGAAACACTTTGTTGTCTCCAGAATTCTTGTTACTTCGGCAACAGAACTCTGTGCACATATCCTCAACCCTCCTCCTTCCCTGTACACACAAGGCAGGGGCAGGCAAGTTGTGGTCGTCGCCTGGTGATCGTGTGGCGTGTCACGGAATTTCAGAAGACGTGCTGACACCTGCTTCATGCTACTCATCCCGCCTCCCCCTCCCCACCCCCATGGCAATGTGCTGGCAGGCGAGCTGTGGTCGGCAGGTGATCGTGGCATCATCAAGGCATGGTCCCGCCTCTCCCAACTAGAGGAGGGTTATTCACCCTACCCTACCCAACCCCACCCAACCCAAGCAGGCGAGCTGTGGTCGGCAGGTGATCGTGGCATCATCAAGGCATGGTCCCGCCTCTCCCTCACCAACGAGCTTCACCGAACCATGCACCATCTAGAGGAGGGTCTGGATGAGGGGAGGGAGGAGAGGAGGTGTAGGCCAATGGCGTCTGATCTGCAGCAGCAGCAGCTGCAGAATGCTGACGTGGCAGGGGACCCTGTGCCGAACCGCATCAGCCCTACGTGCGTGGAGCTTCGGCAGCACCGAGCCTCGTCAGGCTCGGCGGCGGCCGAACAGGCTCGGAATGACATGGGGGGAGTTCACGACTCCAGCAATCTAAGAGGATATGGTGGGTTCAGTAGTAGCAGTAACGAAAACCGCACAAGCTATGACCCTGCTACTGCCAATGCTGCTGCCGCTGCCACTGGTGGTGCTGGCGTTGGTGCTGCTGGCTCTGGCTCTGGTGCTGGTGCTGGCAATAGCACTGGGACTTCACCCAGGGCACTATCACCTATTTCTGAGAGCATGTCAGCTCTACCGCCGCCTAACGTTTCAACCGCGCGTGGAGCTGTGAGGGTGATGGTGGCAGATGCGGCGAACGGATGGGTGTGGACGGCTGGGCCTGCCTCTGCATGCATCTGGTAAGCTTGATTCCACCGACTCCAACCCCGTACGGATCATGGTTGGGGGGTGAGGTGGGGTGGGGAGGGGTGGAATTCGGTTTCATTGTTTGTCAACTGGAAACCCTAATGGCTGGGTGTGGACGGCTGGGCCTGCCTCCGCATGCATCTGGTAAGCTTCATCCCACCGTTCTGTAAATATGCCAATCGCTGCACATCCCTGCCCATCCCTGCACATCCCAAACCACTTCCCATCCCCCCCTCGAAAGGGATGCAAGAAGGAAAAAGGTAATTCGAGCTATCTCCTCCCTTACCACACTGCATCTCTCAACATCTCTCCAATCCCCCTCTCCACCCCGTCGTATCCCTCTGCACACCCTTGTTCCCCCTTTACAGGGACGCACGAAAAAGGGAGCTGATTCGAGCTCTCTCCTCCCTCTCAGACCCGAGCGCGTACGAAGAACCTTCCAGGAGCTTTCCTCCCCGCGGTAACTCCGCAGCAGCAAGCAGTGGTGACGTCAGCATCATCAGCAGCAGCACCAGTACCACTACTAGCAGCAGCAGCACATTCAGCAATGCCACTGGTACTGGGGGTGTTACTAGAGACAGGCGTATGGAAGGTGCGTGGAAACTTTTAGCTAAGTCCCGGGAAGTGCTGGGGAAAGCTAAGGGGGCAGTGACTGATGCTGTAAGAGCGGCTGCAGCAGCAGGGAAAGGAGAGGAGTACTTAAGTGGTGGTGGTGGTAGTGGTGGTATTGACGATTTGGATACAAGTGGTAGCGGTGGTAGCAACTCCACCTTTTCCTCTCCGTCCCCAGCAGTAAGAGTCTCAGGGGGGACTTTGAGAAAGCTCCAAGCGGCAACTGCTGTCGGTGACGGTTCAGTCTGGTTCGGGTTCAGGTCTGGTGCGCTGGTTCGGATCGACAGGTCCGGGGCGAGGCTGCAGGAAGTAGGGTTGGATGCGGGAGTGTGCTGTCTCTGTGTTGTGGGGTTGAGGCTTTGGGTGGGGATGGCGGATGGGGGAATCGTGGTGCTGGGGGCAAGGAATGGGAGGAGATTAGGCGGGTGGCCTGGTGTGCAAAAGCTGAGTCGCAAGCAGCAGCTGCAGCTGCAGCAGTATCAGCAACAGCAGCAGCAGCAATTTCAGCAATACCAGCAGCAGCAACAGGATGAGAAGGAAAGAATCAGGGGGCAAATGCTGTCAGAAGAGGGTCAAGTTGGTTTTAGACGCACAGAAGACAGCAGGAATGGGGAAAGCAGTGGGGGAAACAGTAGAGGGATAAGCAGGGAAAGCAGTGAGGAGGGGAGCAGTGGCGTTGCGCGCATGAGTGGTAGCCAGGGTATTTCTAATCTCCCTGCCATTCGTCAGCTAGTACCTTTAACTCTTGGACTTGTAGCTCAAGCTACCACCACTGCCACCAGCTGCAGCAGTAGTGGCAGCACTGACAGCAGCAGCTACAGTACCACCACAACGGTGGGTCAGTTTGTCTTATCTGTTGCTAAAAACGGCGAAGTTTCAGCCTGGCCTTCCGCCTTCCCCTCGCCTCCCCTGGAATCCGCACTGCACGCCGCTCTGGCCGCCCAATCCCAGGCGTTCACTAAAAGACGAAAGCTGCAAGTGGCAACTGGTACCTGGAACGTGGGGGAGGAGAAACCTGACGGGGAGACGGTGCAGGCTTGGCTGGGGGAGGTGGCTAGAGGGGCGGATGTGGTTGCAGTGGGGTTGCAAGAGGTTGAGATGGGTGCAAGGGCCATTGCCCTCGCTGCTGCAAAGGAATCGGTTGGGATGGGTTTGCAGGAGAAAGAGAGCGGTGCTGCCCAGGAGTGGACTGCGGTTATTCGCAAGGCCCTTGGTGCTGCTGGTGGTTCTGCTGGCTCTTCTGGTGGTGCTTCTGCTGCTGCTTCTGCTGCTGGTTCCTCTGATCCTTCCTCTATCTCTGCCCCCTCTTCCTCCTCTGCTGCTGCTGCCTGTGCGGATGATGGGTTTGTGCGAATCGCGTCACGACAGCTGGCGGGCATGATGCTGACAGTGTGGTAAGATGGGCGGAATTTGGGTGGTTGTTATGTTTTAAGATATGAATTCCATTCATGTATTTTGTTGAGTCCCATGCGTGTTGAGAAAATCACAAAATTCCAAAGCCTGATTTTCTCACTCACCGCTAACCTCATTGCCTCTCTCTGTTTCTCTCTCCAACAGGGTGTGCGAGTCACTCCTTCCGGACATATCCGACGTGGAGACCGGAGCCGTGGCACTTATGAGGCGCCTCAATAATCTTCTCTCTGCCTTCCTACCTCATCCTGCCCTACCTCACCGTTTCTTTCGCTCATTCAGGGTGCGAGAGTCTCTCCTTCCGGATATATCTGACGTTGAGACCGGAGCCGTGGCGTGCGGTTTCGGCCGAGCGCTTGGCAACAAGGTGAGGCGTTAAGTCTTCTTAAGAGGTAGGCTACAGCTGGGCTACAGCTGGGCTACAGCTGGTTTCTTGCGCATGACAATATGCGGCCACGTCTGTGCAATCGTCAACTGCCACCTGGCAGCGCACGACAGTGCACGATATATCAATTTTATCCCATGTGATCCCTTGTTACCCCATATTAATGCACACTTTCTGAACAAGGAGGGGTTGGAGTGCGCATGACAAAGTGCGGGCGCGTCTGCGCAATCATCAACTGCCACCTGGCGGCGCGCTACAACGCACAGTTCATCCCTAGTTATTCCATATGGTTCCATATCATTCCATCTTATCCCATATTATTCCATATTATTGCACACTTACCGACCAGGGAGGGGTGGGCGTGCGCATGACAATATGCGGGCGCGTCTGTGCAATCATCAACTGCCACCTGGCGGCACACGATAACGCGACAGCTAAGCGGAACGAGGACTGGCATCGCATCTACACAACTATGGAATTCGGGCGATCCATGGGGACCGTTGGCACTGCCGCCACCAATGCTGCCAAGGCAGCTGGAGGTAGGGTTGGGGGGGAGCGGGCGGGGCCAACATGACTGCCAAGCGAAACGAGGACTGGCAGGGCATCTACTTGAGAGCGGAGTTTGGGCGATCCATGGGGACTGTGGGCACTGCTGCCACCAACGCTGCCAAGGCTGCTGGAGGTGAGCTGACGGATGGAGGAGAAGAGAGGGAACGGTTTTCAGTTCAAGGTGGGTAAAAGGAGGACTGGCGTGGCATGGCATGGCATGGCGTGGCATGGCATGGCATGGCATGGCGTGGCATGGCATGGCATGGCATGGCATGGCATGGCATGGCATGGCATGGCATGGCGTGGCATGGCATGGCATGGCATGGCATGGCATGGCATGGCATGGCATGGCGTGGCATGGCATGGCATGGCATGGCATGGCATCCACACGAGCATGGAGTTCGGGCAATCCATGGGGACCATTGGCACAGCTGCCACCAACGCTGCTAAAGCCGCTGGAGGTTCAATGGGGGAAGGACGGATTGGTGTGTTGGGGTGGGTGCAAGGAACAAGGACTGGCATGGCATCCCACACGAGCATGGAGTTTGGGCAATCCATGGGGACCGTTGGTGCGGCTACGACCAACGCTGCTAAAGCCTCTGGAGGTAAGTTGAGGGTTTTGCAGGAGTAGTGGAAGGAGGAGGGAAGGAGAGAGGGTGTGGTTACGGTTAGGTGGGTGCAAGGAACAAGGAGTGGCATCGCGTTTACACAAGCATGGAGTTGGGGGATCCATGGGCACTGCTGCGTCTATTGAGACATCAAAAGCCATGGGCACTGCTGCGTCTAATGCTGTCAAGGCTGCTGCCCTTTTTTCTTCTCCCCACCCACCCCTTCTTCTCCCCTACCACCACCTACTCTTGTAATTTCAGCCGTCTTCCAATCAGCCGCACAGGGGTTTGTGAATGCAGCAGGGAGGGTCATAAGCTGAGACGATTTTTTAGGCGCCTCAAAAATTGCAACAGAGAGGGGCGTAAGGGCAGCGGGGAGGAGATGGGGAAGGGACGAGGGAAGGGGCCAATCTGTGGGCATCTTACAACAATAACTAATCTTGCTTTTTGTTTCTCTCTACGATCCTCCCCTCTTCTCCCACCCAAACCACCCTCTCTTCTCCCTTCAGCTGGCTTTCAATCAGCCGTACAGGGTTTTGTGAAGGCAGCAGGGAGGGGAGTGGGAGCAGGAGGGGCGGCAGGCTTTGTCCCCATCTCCAGCACTCAAGGCGCGGATGTGCCGGGCTCTGATTGGCCAAACGCTGCAGCTGGCATCAGCAGCAGCCCCAGCATTGGAAGCGTTGATTTGTATTCTGTGGTGCGTTTTGCACCAACTCAAGGCATCACCATCATAGTTTTGAGACGTCTCAAAACTAGATTTGTATTCTGAGATGCGTTTTGCACCAACTCAAGGCATCACCATCATTACTACTAACAGTAGGATCGGCATCGGGAGCAGTGACTCTTCATGCTCTGATCTGCTGTTTTCCTCCCTGGCTTCCTCCTGTGTGCCGGAAAGGCATTCTAACATGCAAGACGATGACAAAGAAAAGGAGCAAGAGAACATGAAGGAAGAATCTCCACACAGAGCCCTTGCTGCTTCTGCCGCTTCTGCTTCCTCCTGTGTGCCTGAAAGGCATACTAACATGCAAGAGGATGACATTTTTGAGGCGCCTCAAAAGTCGTCTCTAACATGAAAGAGCATGACAAGGAAAAGGAGCAAGAGAATTCCGAAGTAGCTCCCCTTCTGAAGTCACATGGTCTCACATGGTCACACATGGTCTCACATGGTCTCACATGGTCTCACATGGTCTCACATGGTCACATGGCTTCAGTATGGGTTCTGACCATGGGCGCTCTGAGCACTTTGGAGTTGACTTTTGAGGCGCCTCAAAAGCCGTCACTGTTGAGGCGCCTCAAAAGAATCACACTGGACAGCCTTTGCAGCTGGCATCTCTTGTACTGTGAATGCCGGCTGACTGGGGGGGGTTTTTCAAGTAAGGTGAGGAGCTTAGGAGAATGTCTACTAGACTTGCTTTTGAGTCGACTCAAGAGGTTAGGAGAGTGTCTACTAGACTTTCTTTTGAGCCGTCTTGCTCGTCTGGATGGGCAGATTAAACTACCATGTGACGAGCCGCTTTCCTCCCCTCTCTCCCCTTTTCCCTCCCGCCCCCTCTTCCACAGCCCCCCTCGTCTCGCCCTCACCTGGCTCAGAGCGATCTGCTCATTTGGATGGGCGATTTGAACTACTGTGTGACTAGCCGCTTCCCTCCCCTCACTCCCCTTCCCACTTCCCCCTCAACCCCCCCAAACCCCCCCCCCCTTGTCTCCCTCCCCACTCCCCTCACAGCCCCCCTCCCCTCGCCCTGACCTGGCTCAGAGCGATCTGCTCATTTGGATGGGCGATTTGAACTACCGCAATGGCAAATTAATACCTTTCAGTCACCACCTGCCTCCCTGCCCTCCCCCCATTCCTCCCATCCCCACAGCCCACCTCTTCCCGCCCTGACCTAGCTCAGAGTGATCTGCTCATTTAGATGGCGGTATGAACTACCGCCTCGACGGGGTGTCATACTGAAAGGGGAGATGAAGGCACGTGACCAGCTGCTTTCCTCCCCTCTCCGGCCCCTCCCGGCTCCCCTCCCACACCCCTCGCCCTGACCTAGCTCAGAGCGATCTGCTCATCTGGATGGGCGATTTGATTCAATGCAAGGCAAGGGCAGGTGAATGCCTGTCTGTCACCACCTGCCTCCTTCCCCTCTCCCCTCCCATCCTCGCAGCCCACCTCCCCTCGCCCTGACCTGGCTCAGAGCGATCTGCTCACTTGGATGGGCGATTTGAACTACCGTCTCGACGGGGTGTCATACTGAAAGGAGACCCGTGACTAGCTGCTTTCCTCCTCTCCCCTCCAACCCCCTTCCCCCTCCCACAGCCCTCCTCGCCTCGCCCTGACCTGGCTCAGAGCGATCTGCTCATCTGGATGGGCGATTTGAACTACCGCCTTGACGGGGTTTCATACGAGGAAGCATGCAGTGCCGTGGCAAGGAGGCAGTACCCGCTGCTTCTGGCGTGTGATCAGCTGAGAGTGGAGATGAAGGCTGGGAGGGCGTTTGTGGGCATGCAGGAGGGAGCGGTTGACTTTGCCCCGACCTACAAGTTCGATCGCGGGACTTTCAACCCCCTGGGTGAGTGTTTGCTCTGGTTCCCCTTGTAGGATCCTGCAGTGTTGTTGCCAGTCGGTGTGTGGTATAGCTTAGATGAGGAGTATGCAGCACCGTTGCCAGGAGGCAGTACCCGCTGCTGCTGGATTGTGACCAGCTGAGAGCGGAGATGAAGGCTGGGAGAGCGTTTGTGGGCATGCAGGAGGGAGCGGTTGACTTTGTCCCGATCTACAAGTTCGATCGCGGGACATTCAACCCCCTCGGTGAGTGCTTGCTCTGCCTGTTGAAAGGGGCTGTCCTGTATGTTGAGAGTGGAGATGAAGGCTGGGACAGCGTTTGTGGGCATGCAGGAGGGAGCAGTGGACTTTGCCCCGACCTACAAGTTCGACCGTGGGACGTTCAACCCTCTCGGTGGGTGTCTGTTCTGCGTGATGTTTCGCTTTTCCCTGGTACCTTGGAAAGTGGTTGTTTTGGTCCCTCCCCCTCTCTCACCCCTCTCATCCCTCCCATGACATTCTCCCCCCCCCCCCTGACCACCCATTCGCCTTCCATTCCCATCCATCCCATCCCATGTTTCTCATCCCTCCCAGCGTATGATTCCGGTGAGAAGCGAAGGGTCCCTGCATGGTGCGACCGGATCCTCTTTAGAGACAGCTTCACTAGCAGCAGCGCATCCCAGACTGGGGGAACGAGTGGGGCTGACGCCTCACCCTTCCAAAGGAGGGATGGTGGCAGCAGTGTTGGCACCAGTGGTGGAGCAAGTTTTGAGGCGCCTCAAAACCAATCTCAAAGGCGGGATGGTGGTGGCAGCGGTGGAGTATTGAAGGATGGTGTCTCCAAGAACAGAGCCACTCTCTCCCATCCTGTTTCAGTCGAGCTTCTCCGGTGCGTTCTTTCTCTCTCCCTCGCCTCCATTCCTCACCATCTCTCGCTGAATCCCGAAATACTATATTCATGAAGAAAAAAAGAAGAAAAAAGAAGAAGAAAAAATACTAGCTAACTAACTCACTCTTGTGCAGACATATATGCATCCGTCTAAATATGTTGCCTCATGTTATTAATGATGTTTTCCCCCTCTCCGCCACTTAGTGGTGAATCAATAATCTTCATACATTAATTCACGTATTTCAGATTTCCCTTCCTCCCAGCCTCTCCTGTAAGCCAGACTTTCCGACAAGTCCCCAGCTCCACATCCTGCATGGCAGCCTTTCAGAGCGATCACAAGCCCGTCACATCCCTCATGCCACTCACCATCGCCTGCCCTGACGCTGTTGCTGCTTTCATGTGCTGTTCCCCTTGTTATAATCCCCCTCTTCCCTCCCCCCGCCCCCTTCACCCACAGCTACACGTCCTGCATGGCGGCCTTTCAGAGAAATCACAAGCCCGTCACCTACCTCATGCAACTCACCATCGCATACCCTGATGCTGCTGCTGCTTTAATGCGCTGTTCCCCTTGTTATACTCCCTCTTCCCTACCCCCGCCCCCTTCACCTACAGCTACACATCCTGCATGGCGGCCTTTCAAAGTGACCACAAGCCCGTCACATCCCTCATGCAACTCACCATCGCCTGCCCTGATGCCTCAGCTCAGAGGACCGTGGTTACCCGCCTCCTCACATCTCCACTCCTCTCCACCCCTCTCTCCTCCACTAGCACCACTAGCTCTGCTACCCCCACCCCTGCCACTGACCTCCTCTCTTTTACTGCTGAAACTAACCTTCCTGCTGGAATCAACCTCTCTCCCACTGCCTCCTCCTTTGAAACTTCCACACTCTCCTCCCCTCTATCCTCCCCTCTCTCCTCCCCTCTCGAGGCATCACAAGTTTCATATCCCCCTCTCTCCTCGCTGCTCTGGCAAACGGCAGCATCCCACTGCTCCTCTCTCGTTGCTGCCGGCACTAGTGTGAGAATAGACCCCACTACAGGGAAAGCTTCGGTTGTGGTGAGCAATAAGGGTGATAAGAGCACAGGGCATGCGATGGGTTTTAGAGTGGTTTGCGAGGGGGAGGGTGAGAGTGGGTGGAAGGTGGAGGGGGGTGTGGGATGGAGGGGGGAGGAGAAGAGGGTGGGAGGGTCCGGCACTGGGAACGACACTGGGTTGACTACCGATGGAGATGTGGTTACAAGGGGAGCGGGGGCGAGATGTGATTGGCCGATTTGGCTGCAGGTGCAACCTGGTTCAGGCGTCATCTCACCAGGAGAATCTGCTACAGTGGAATTCACGCTTCGACACTCGGAATGCGTAGCAACAGCAGAGCAGAGCAAGGAGGGCATGAAGCCTGGTAGTGGGGTAAGCACATCTCTGCATGACACAGCAAGCCCGACCGAAGGCAGTGTGCTTGTGATGAGAATGACCACATGGGGGCCCTCTGCTTTGACTCTGCGGACGCATATATTGGCCCTGGTCATCCCGCAGATTGTTTAGGGTGGATTCGTTAGCACTACCCACCTTTCATTTGCTATCGTTGGGCTTATTTCCATAGTCAGGTTTGACCACTTTGCCTCACCACCGTTGTCAATTTCAATATTTTTTTAAGTGACTTTCCTTTGATTCAGTAAATGTGAAACGAGCACAACACAACTGCTCCTGTATCACAAGGTGGTTATGTTGGTTACGCCTGATGGTAAAGGATTTGTTACGGGGATTCCCATAAACCAAATGCACACTAATGGTAAAACCATTGTTACTCCACTGTACTGGCTATCCAACACATTTCATGTTCGTGGCTATTAGACACTTCAATTCCTCTGCTGGAGGTGTTAAAGCCGGCGGCCCAAATTGTTCATGCTTTTAAAAGTTGACCAGAGGGAGTTTTTCTGGTATAGGCTTTGGCGAGAGTTCGCGATTTCGTCTAGGTTCGTTTTTTTCGCGAGACCCAGCCAACCCTCGGTTTTCCCCCTGGTGAGTGAATCTGTCTTCGAAAGTCCCAAATTGCAGGTGCGTGACTTTCAAAAGCTTGCACACTCAACTTCGTCAAGTTTTAAAAACTTGACTCTCGCGGTCCGCAATTTGGGACACGGGCTTTAAGCAAATCACAACACAGTTCACCATTGGCACCCTCGTGTCTCCAAACCAAGCAGTTGTGTTAGGTTGTGAACTACATACCACAATGCACCATGCTACTGCAACAGCACTTCACAAGCAAAAGCCACCTGCTTGGATGTCTACTCACTTGATTGAATGCCATCTTTCTGTGATACCAGGCACCTGACCTGAAACAGTAGGACTCTCCTACCACATACTGTATTTAAGGCGCCTAAAGAAACTAACTCCACATCCCCCGTATCCTTCTCCTTCCCGCAACAGGTTCACAGCTTGCCCTTGGCAATCTTGGACCATTCAGTGTGGTAGTTGCCGTCAACGTCCACACGCTCGTACGTGTGTGCACCGAAGTAGTCTCGCTGCGCTTGCACCAGGTTGGCAGGCAGCCGGGCACGGCGGTAGCTGTCAAAGTAAGCCAGGCTGCGAGCAGGGGGGGGGAATGTACGGGGATTAAGGGCAAAAGGGCAAGTGGCTATGTGAGAGAGCGCAACCCAACACCATCCTCCTGCCTCTCCACCTCATTTGAAAAACTTAAGCAGGATCATATCATGAAAACCTTCCATTGACCAGTCCTTAACCCTCCTTTCACCCAGCCCGTCTTTCCCCTCACCTGGTGCTCATGCCAGGGGCGGTAATCCCAGCCTGGATCGCCAGAGTCACCACGCGCCGCCACGCCTGCTGCCGCTCCACCACCTCCTTGGCGAACTCAGAATCCACCAGCAGATTCGCCAGATCAGGGTTGCGGTCATACGCCTGCTTGATCCGGTCCAGAAACACCGCCCGAATGATACACCCACCCTTCCAGATCCTCGCAAGCTCTCCCAGGTTCAACCCCCAGCCCTGCTCCGTGCTCTTCGCGCGGATGAGGTTCATCCCCTGCGCATAACTGCAGACCTTGGACGCGTACAGAGCCTTCCGAACGTCGTCCACAAGCTGGGCTTTATCCACTCCTGAGACGGCCGCTGCCCCGTCCGAAAGCCCAGCTGCGGCGAAGACCGCAGAGGCCGCCACCCGCTCGTCTTTCAGGCCAGAGATGTAGCGGGAGTCGAGAGAAGCAGCGATGGTGGGGGCGGCGATTGAGAGCTCGGCTGCCTGCTGGACCGTCCACTTGCCAGTGCCCTTCATGCCGGTCTTGTCGAGGATTGCATCGACCAGGTACTTGTTTTCGCCTGGGGCTGCGCGGTCATCCTTGACTGCGAAGATGTCGGCAGTGATCTCCACCAGGAAGCTCTCGAGCTCGTTCTTGTTCCAGCTGGTGAACACGGCATGGAGCTCCTCGTTTGACAAGCCGCCCACGTTCTTGAGAATGTCATAGCTGGAAGAAGCAAGGGGGGAAGGGGAGAGGGGGGGCGGAGGGGCCAATTGTTGAGCACAGGAGAGGGACTACGAAAATCTCGGAGGTTGTTGGTTGGCTGTGTAGAGACAGAGAATGTTGTAGCTGCTGTAGCAGCCAGGAGACCTAACGGTCTTGATCAAGCTAGCAACGTCGCTACTGACATTTCTTTGCAGCCCATTCAACGCCGCACAAACCCACATTCTATTGACGCTGCATTCCAATTGTGCACAAATCTCACAGCAGCTATCCCCGCAACCCAATGCACAGCTTTCCAAACATTGGCACAACCCCAACAACATGCCTACATCAACCAAACCCCCAAAACCCCAATATTCTGTGCTAAAATGAGCTACGTGTTGCCTTTTCTTTGTACGCCATTTTCACAATGTTCCCCGCGCCAACAGCCCCCACGAACACAACGCAGATCCCATCGTCCACCTGATCATTCCCACCGCAACCAACCTCATACAACCACCCCCCTCCAACCCCAACGCCAACCAACCCCAGGAGAAAAACTCACGCTTCCGAAATGAGCTGCATGTCGCCGTACTCAATCCCATTGTGCACCATCTTCACGAAGTTCCCCGCGCCACCCTTGCCCACGAACGTCACGCATGGCCCGTCGTCCACCTGAGCCGCCACCTTCTTTACCATGTCCTCCACTATCGCGTACGCCTCCTTAGATCCGCCCGGCATGAGCGACGGGCCGAACCGAGCGCCCTCCTCGCCGCCTGACACGCCCATGCCCAGGTAGAGAAGACCCTTGGCCTTCGCCTCCGCCTCTCTGCGCTCCGTGTTCTCGTACCTGATGCAAAGCGAAACGGGAGACGGGGAGAGGTAAACAAACAAATACATCTGAACATCTGCTTTACTGTTTATTGTATGGATCGAATTCCTACAAGATTTTCTTGAAACACTCGCGAAGCAGTACTTTTGAACGAGGTTCCCTATACCCAATGCCCATGATTCCTGCTGTCATCGACTCAAGAGAACGCGCTGACGGTCTCGCCGTCAACGGTGCTGTCCCCCCCTTCCACCCCCCTGAACAAGAGAGGGACCTATTCGAAAAAAGCTTCCAACATTCGTAATTTCCTCACTGATTGTTATTCCCTCACCATTCGTTTCCGCCGTCGATGATGACGTCACCCGGCTCCAAATACTCCGAGAGCACCTTGATCGTGTCATCCACGGGCTTGCCGGCCTTCACCAGAATGATGATCGATCTAGGCCGTTGGATCGACTGCACGAAGTCCTTCACGTCGTGGAAGCCGCGCAAAGGCAAGTCGCCCTCCGCCTTGGCGCGAGAGACAGTGTCGTCCACCTTGCTGGCCGTGCGGTTGTACACGGAAATGGGGAAGCCCTTCTCCGCGATGTTCAGAGCGAGGTTCTGCAGGCAGGGAAAGACGGACGAAATACATTAGATACTGTCATCAATGAAAACGGGTCGTTCATCTTGGTTGCTGTGCGGGTTTACACGAAAATGGAGAAATACCGAAAAATTTTGAAGTCAATGCGTAAATCTTGCAAATCTACTAGGCAGAATATTTAAATGAAAAAAGTCTCCTGGATATTCGAAACACGGCTCATTATTCACGAAACAGAAGGGAAATGCCATGACAAAAATCCATTCCCAGCAACCTTACCTGTCCCATCACCGCCAAACCAGCGAGGCCGATCCGAGAAAGGCCAGTGGAAGACGCCATTCTGCAAGGAAGTAGTGAATTAGGACACAGATGAGATTGACGGGAAAAGACAACGATAAGTAGCACCAATCACTGATGAAGTTGCGTACGCCAGTTGTTTGGCCGAAAAACATAAGCAATTATATCTTAACCATTGTCAACCGTAATGATTCATTTTTCCTTACTCTCTTACAGTTAAGTCCTGCAGATACAAACAGATGTAACACCGTTATTCGTTACGACTTACTTGGAACTTTGAGCTGCGTCTGCGACAGTCGCCCGAACAATGCTGCTAGATCGTTGACGCTTTTCTTGGAAAACTTCTGCAGCGGAACATTATGTGGATAAAAAGTCGAAATGGGTGTAACGAACAAAACGTCTGGCGTCCGAATAATTAATAAGAATGTAAGATTCGGAGATTTGAGACGTAATCACTACGAGGTAGGTGAATGGATAGAGACGAGCGGGAAGCATCACGAACGCACCTTGTTTGTGCGTGGATGACAATGGGAGACCAGTCTGCGAGAAACTTGCAGAAAGCTTCTTCCACGCAAGCCTGTTCTGGGTGCCTGATTGACTCTTCCGAACCGAGTTAGCTGATCGAGTAAGAGACGCAGCAGCGGTCAACGAACTCGTGACTGCGAGCTCAGCAGCCATGGAATAAAAACGTATAAATGACTGGAAGAATTAGAAGGCCAAGAATCAGGCAAATTGCCTGGCGAAGGTGGCAGACGGAGCTGAGGGAGGTGAGGGTGAGAGGGAATGGAGCCTCAGAAATAACCTCTCGGGAGGTTCTGGAATCCTGGAACGTTGGAGGCTGGGAGGAAAAATGAGAGCTCAAGGTTGGTTCGTCCGAAATAGCTGTGAGCGACGTAGTCACGTGCGAAATATCCGGGACCAGGATGGTTGTTGTCAAAACTTTTGAAAGACGTTTCACTTCAGGTTTTACAGCTGTACCGTAGTGAATTTGTAAAAAAAAAGTATTTCAATATGTTTCTCAGGTTTGATTTGAAGAATTTCAAGGTTGTCCGCCTCCGCTGCTTCTGAAGAACGAGATGACTTTCCGGAACTCGAATCACTTGAGAAAACGGGGGTAGCTAATTCTTGCAGGTCAGCCAGAGTAGCTGCTTCGTAAAAAAAACCATCCCAAGTAACAAAAAAGGCAACCTGCATCTCCGAAAAGCGGGGATCAGACAGCTTTTCACTGGCCCGTCCACATCAGTCATTGGTAACATATCCACTCACCTTCACCCACTGGACCCCAGCTACGTGTCAAGTTCCATTAGATTTTTCATTCGCCCAGTCAGAACTCCCAAGCCACGGTGACGGAACGTTTTCCACAACACTGATGCGCAAGGGTAAAATCTGCGCACACTGATTTTAACAGGGTAGAAAGTACACTACACGTACAAAATTGTCCAACCTCTCAAAGTCGAGGTAATACTAAAAAAAGGGCTGCCAAAAAGGGTAATCATGGCATCTTACCCTTGAAATAATGAGCATGGACTCGAGTCGGAAGCGGCGAGAGGGCAGTGCGGTCGTGAAATAATATCTGCGATGCACCGGAGTCAAGCATGAAGTAACGTGACGCGCCAGCGGTCGTTGCACCTGGGCTAGGTGGGCAGCTGCTGGGACCACCAGCTGGCTCTTCATTCGCAAATTCCGCGTATATTTGCGCAGCCCCGGAAACTGCCCCTTCCGGCGCTTAGAAGCCACGGATTCACAGCATAACTGCGATTGGGAAGGGAAAAGACGCACAGCACAGCATACCTGGCAGACAGACACCCCTTCATTTCTGCAACTTCTGCCGCTCCCTGGCCCAGACTTCCAGGGTGTAATGATCACAGCCCCGACCTAGCTAGCACATTTGCTTTTCCGTATCCAAAAATGCTTTGCTGTCTGATGAATTACTCCAGCAGTCGCCATGGCATGGCTTGCTCCTCCTTGCTTGCCCCCTGATGGGCGACCCCCCTGTCCCATGCTGCAGCCAACGTAGGAACACTGCGTTAACAACGTGTTGTACGTTTCGTTACCGAGAGCACGTTGAACACGTTTCGAACACTAACGTGTGCGCTCCGCCGTACATCGCGCACTCCCATCGCGTCCAAAGCTAGTCATGGCCTCGCCCGGCCGTCTCTGGCTCGGCTCCTGGGCTCGCTTCCTATTGGGCCAGCGCCTCGCGCCTTACGTTCCCACACCTCCGCACGTGGTTCGGGAGATGCTTCGGCTGGCTCGTGCAGGTCCTGATGACGTGGTTTGCGACTTGGGGTGCGGCGACGGGAGATTGCTGGTCGAAGCTGCGCTAAGACACGGTTCTAGAGAATTCGGCGTGGATTTAAATGCAGAGTTGCTACGGGCAGCCGAAGAAAACATTCAACGTCACGGATTGGCTGACCGAATCACAGTTTCTTGCCAGGTAGCATCGTGAGAAAGGTGTGAGAATGCTTTAAATATGGAAGGAGGGGCGACGGGAACGAAAGGAGGCGGGAAGGGGAAGGAGAGGGGAAAGGAGAGAGGAGATGATGAGGGGAGATGGGAAAACGAGAGGTTAGTGGGAAAATGGCTGGTCAGATGGCACAAGCTCTCGCTGATAACGTATAAGGACAGTGATTTGGAAAGTGAAGTTCTGATCAGAACCTACCCGTCCTCTATCCCTGCAGGATGCACTGACGGTGGACCTTCGCGAAGCAACAGTGGTAACCCTATACCTCAGCGAATTCGGTAACCAACAGCTGGTGCCTCGCCTGCAGTCGCAGCTGCCCCCACACAGCCGTGTCGTTTCCTTCTGCTGGAAGTTTCCTGAGAAGTTTCGGCCGGTGGAGGAGAGGAGAATAGACAGCATTCCGCTTTATCTGTACAAGTTTGCCTAACATGGATGGGTGGGGACAGCCGACGTCGAATCCCGATGGACAGCCGATGTCGAATCCCGATGGACAGCCGACGCTGAATCCCGATGGACAGCCGGCGTCGAATCCCGATGGACGGCCGACGTCGAATTCCGTTTTCAGTACCTAATTCTCGGGTTTTCTGCCAAACACCCTCCAGGAACAGGAGCAACTGCCGCAGCAGCTGCAACGGCAACAGCCGCTTCTGGGTGGCCGGGGGGACAGTGTTCGTCTGCACATCTGCACGCCGATAGGCAGAGAGAGGCGAGAGGCTGTGATCAGATGGCGTGTCGCTGGTGACTTTTGAGGCGCCTCAAAAGTCACCAGCGACACGCCATCTGTTCATGGGTGGGCGAGCAGCAACGGCCATGCGCTTTCTGGATCATGCGAGACCCTTCTGAGGTGCTGTTTCCTGAGGGAGTGTGTATCAGTTGCAGCAGCAGCAGCAGCAGAGCAGGCACAGCAGCAGGGGCAGGAGTAGCAATGGCGGCAGCAACAGGGGTCGTGGGGTTTACCTCGGGCAGCTGGATCTGTAGGTATGGGTTCAGGCGGAAGTGATTCGGCGGTTTGGTGAGGGAGAGGTCCGACCGGGCCTGTTGGTGCAGGTTCGGGCAGAGGTTGGGGAACAAAAAGGGTGGGCGTAGGGGGAGGTGGGTCTGGAGCGGGTGGGACTGGGGGAGGGGCGTGGGGGAGGGGCGTGGGGGAGGGGCGTGGGGGAGAGGAGGGGGGGGTGCAGCTGTGATTAAAACGGGGGTTGGGCATGCATTGTTGGATGAGGCTTGGGGGGGTGATGATGGTGGTGCTGGTGCGGCGGCTGCTGCTGGTGGAAACAGGATTGCTGCTGATGCTGCACCTGCTACAACTGTTGCAGTACCAGCTGCTGCAGCAGCATCATCCCCCCCGGCTGCTCCTGTTCTAGCTCCTGCTGCGGCTGCTGCCGTGGCTGCACCTGCTGCACTTCCTGCTGCGGTTGGTGGAGTGGCAGAGGATGGGACAGATGATGGTGAAGATGATTGGGAGAGGATGGCCGATTAGCAGCAGTCGGCTGGTTGTGTTAGGCATGGTACTGCTGCCAGTAAGAGTTATGCTACACTTTGTTGCGGTTGGGTTGGGAGAAAGCATTTTTCTGTTTCATTAACTTGTAGAAAATAAGTAGGCGGTAACTTGAGGGGAGATGAGCATTCTGATAGTGCCCTCCTGTATTGCCCAACTGGAGGCCTAGGATTCTGTTTGTACTTAGCTATGGGCTTTGTGGAGTAGTATTTGCGGCATTCATCCAAGGTTCTAAGGGCATGTTCTTGCGACCCCTTATCTGGCCAACCTCTATCAGGCTCAGTCTCAACACACTGAAATTTCCAGGCAAACCTTCACGAATTTTACCAGGCAAACCTGACAAGAGGTTTGCCTATAAGAGCGAAGGAATACGCCCAAAGGCTCCTGGATTTTTAGAGACAATCATTGAATATCCTGAAACACAAGTTTGAATCTCCTGAAGACAGGGCAACGATCCAAGGTTCTTGATGCTGCTGCTCCTGACGATGCTGCTGCCCAAGGGAAGAAGCTTCCTGGCTGTGATATACCGGCATGAGCGGAAAATTGAGAAATGAGCAGAGAGGGCCTGAGGGGGAGTGGCAAGGATATGAGATGAAAGCGGGGAGGAAGGGAAGGGGAAAGGGGGTGGGGGGTGGGAAACGAGGGGAGAGCACGGAGACTTGAGCAAAGAGCAGAGAGGAGCTGAAGAATGAGATGAAAGCGGGGAGAGAGGAGGGGGGAGGGGGGAGAGCGGGTTGGATTGAGAAAAGAGCAGAGAGGACCTGAGGGTGAGTGGCAAGGAGATGAGATGAAAGTGGGGAGGGAGGGGGGAAAGGGGGGAGAGCGGGGAGAATAGAGCGAAATGCAGAGGGGATCTGAGGGGTGAGCGGTAAGGAGATGAGGAAGGAGCAGAGAGAGATGGGAGGGGGGGGGGGGAGGAGGTTGCTGGGGGAACGAAGAGAGAGCGGGAGAAGATGAGAGATGCCATCCCCACCCAACCACACCACAACACTCCCCCTCTCCTCCCTCCTCCCCCACCCTGCACACTTCCTTACTGCTCACCTTATTCTCATACTCTTTATCAGTGCGGTTCAACTCGTTTAAAAACTACTTCCAGCTGTCAGCGACCCGTCATGTGTGCCCCGCCACCCGCCATCTCATGCCCCGCATCCCGCCATCTGATGCACCCTCCCGCCTCCCGCCTCCCGCCTCCCGCCTCCCGCCTCTCTCTGCCCATCGGCCTGAAGATGTGCACACACCACCGACCCGCCATCTGATGCCCCGCCTCCCGCCATTTGATGCCGCGCGTCCCGCCACTTGATGGCCCATTGGAGCCTCTGGAAACGGCAACAGCACCACGTCACGCGCCTGATTCAGGTTAGAAATCGTGCCAGGGAAAGGCAGATTGAACAAATGGGGGGGGGGGGGGGGGGGATAAGGGGTGCACGGGAGGAGGAAATGCGGGGAGAACGGAGAGGCGTAGAGGGCAGGGCAGGGAAAGAGGAAGTTTAAAATATTGGGTGAGGCGTGGGTGTTGTGGGGAAGAGGGGGTGAGTGTTGGAAGGAAAGGAGGGGTGAGAAGGGGAGAGAGGAGGGAAACGGGCGGGGGGATATAGGGAGAGACCACGGTTGAATGGCTGGAAAGGCTGGGGGTGGGAGGTGGGGGGAGGAAGAGATGGGGTGTGAGGTGGGGGGAGGGGGAGATGGGGTGTGAGGTGGGGGGAGGGGGAGATGAGGAAAGAGCTGGGGGAAACGCGGAAAGAGCTGGGGTCGATGCGGAATTGCAGGGGGAGATGCGGGAAGAGCGGGGGGGGGAACGAGGGATGAGTGAAGGGGGGAACGAGGTGGGAGGTAGAGAAAAAAGGGAAAGACGGGGAAATGAGGGGTGAACAGGGGGGGGAGATGAGAGGAGGGCGGAGGGGAGACGGGCTTACAGAGGGTGTGGACGAGGGGAGAACAGGGCGAAATCACCTACGAACAGAGGGGACCTGCGGGGTGAGTGGTAAGGAGACGAGATGAAAGCAGGGAGGAGGGGGGAGGACTGGGGGTAAGGGGGGGAGAGCGGGGAGAATTGAGCAACGAGCAGAGCGGATATGAGGGGTGAGCAGTAAGGATACGAAATGAAAGCGGGGAAGAGAGTGGGGGAGAACGAGGAAATAGCGGGGAGAACTGAGCGAAGAACAGAAAGGAGATGAGGGGTGAGCGATAAGAAGACGAGATGAAAGCGGGGAGGGGGGGAAGGGGAGGTGGGGTGGGGGGAACGAGGGGAGATTAGGGCGAATAGAGCAAAGAGCAAAGAGGTGAGCGGTAAGGAGATGAGGAAGGAGAGGAAAGAGATGGCGCGGAGCCGGGGGAACGAGGAGAGAGCGGGAGAAGATGAGAGTTGCCCTCCCCACCCAACCACTCCCAACCACACCCCGCCACTCCCCCTCTCAGCCCTTCTCCCCCACCCCGCATGCTCCCTTACTGCTCACCTTTCTCTTGTTTTACCGTCTTGCGTGGTAACGGTCCGCTTCAATGTGCACGCGCCTACGGACCGAAGCTATCAACGCGTCCGCATGGTAAGTGCATACGAATCTATGTGCTCGCAGATCGGTACTACTATTGCGTCCGCAAATGGTGCTAGAGTGTCCGCAAACGACGTCATTAATCCGCCTGCAAATGGATGTTTTTACTTGGGCCGCAACTTAAAGATTAACGAAAATCGTATAGCTGGCGGTACTTACTAGAAGCTACTTGAAGCGGCGAATATTAATCTACGGCTAATAACCGCGACACTCACTAACCACGGTGTAAAGACTTAGATTGCGCTTAGCTCCGAGAAGGCATGCGGGATGAAAAGCAGAAAGCGGCAGTAAAGCGCGTAGCGCTTAGATCTAGCAGAGACTGAAGACCTAAAAGATAGAAATGACGATGACTGGTGTGCATCACAGAACTGAAGAAAGGTGTGAGGTGCCGGTCGGTAAAGATTGGTTGGTGGCTTCGGTGGAGCAAATCACCCTCAATCCCTATTGGCTCGTGATTTTTATCTCATCCACCTCTCCATATTTCAGCTGCCCGAACCTGGTTCAGAGGCAGCTCGACTTAGTGACAGCTCAGCAGAAGAATATTATCGACCACTTCTTACAACATTCCGCACCTTACGCAAACAAGAACTGCCACGTCAGATTCCTCCTAGAAGCTACAAAGACCATCCACTAGCAATACGCTCCCTGAGTATACTCATTTGCAAAAACACAACGCAAACCGAAACTCAACATCTCTAAGCTGAAAACGAAAAGTGTTCAAATTGTACTGTCATGCTGTACACATTTCAGTTACCACCAGCTCCATCCCACAGCGCGAGGTCTCCAGTGTTGGCTGCGGCTACAATCGTCCACTGCCATCCATTCAACTTTCGCCCGTTCTTTAGCACAGAAGGGAGCAGCCGTGTCGCACCTGACAACACACAGCGTGACTTCATGTTTGAAGCTGAGTCGCGCTATGCCGCGATGGAGTATGCAGGATGGTTTGTGTTAGGCCTAGACTTTATTCACAAAAGTCATAAACAGCACTTGGATTTATGAAGTACAACACTTGGATTTATAAAGTACAAGTCATACAATTCCAGAATGCATCGCTAGAGTGTCTTCCTCCGGAGTGTATTCCTCCTCAGATCCGCCGCCGTTTGAACATCGCCAAGTGTCGAACCGCTTCCTCCGCAGATCCGCCGCCGCTTGAGCTTCCACTTACCGTTGACCCTTCTTGGCCGCTAGAGGCAAATGCCTCTAGCGTTACACCCGAACACCGCGTTGAGGTGAGGGTCATTCGTTCGGGACCCTGTTTTGGGAGGGGAGGGACGATAATTTCGGGTTACTTTGAGATGAGAGCAAGGAGAACGACGCCTCAGGAAGATCTCTCTTGAGGTTGAAGTTGTCAGGTTGAGCAGCAGCAGTGAAGACGGCCGTTGAGGAGAGGGAAGAGGAGGAGGAGGTAAACGCAACCCACCCCCCCCCCCCCCCCACTAGCTCCCTTAATCTAACGCTCCTAATCGTCCTAGCTGACAACTTGCAGTTCCTCCCGAATGCTTGACAAAGGGAGGGGGAACGGGGGAGGGGGTAGGAGTCAAACTCCAGCGCAGGTCCGCCGCTCCTTTGCTCCGATGTCCGCCGATCCGCTCCATCGCCGCGCCACCGCTCCTCTGCTCCGACGCACCGCCGTCGCTCCGCGCCACCGTCGTTCCGCCGTCGCTCCTCTGCTCCTCGCGGATCCTGCTACAAGGGCAAACGGAATGAGTTAGTAAGAATGAAATAATAAAAAACTACTAAAACTGAAACGACACCTCACCTTAAAGTTGTTGCTGCCGTCCCCCCTCCCGCTCCCGCTCCCGTTCGTGCTCCTGATCCTGCTACAAGGGCAAGCCGAATGAATTAGTAAGAGTGAAGTAAAAAAACTACTAAAACTGAAACGACACCTCACCTTAAAGTTGTTGCTGCCGTCCCCGCTCCCGCTCCCGCTCCCGTTGCTGCTCCTGTTCCTGCTACAAGGGCAAGCAGAGAATGTTAGTAGTAAGCAATGAAAAAACAATCATAACTGAAACGACAACTTACCATGATAAAAGTTGCTGCCGTTCCCGCTCCCGCTCCCCCTACTGCTCCTGCTACAAGGGTAAACAGAAACTGTTAGTGATTTTGAAGAAAACAATCAAGTAAAATTGAAAGAAAACCTTACCAGGGAGGGTGGTTGAAGAAGTGCCGCCAACCGCCGTGCGAAGGGCCGCGCGACGAGAGAAGGGTCGCCAACCGCCGAGCGACGAGAGAAGCGTCCGAGCGAAGCGCCGTGCCAAACATGCCGCTACACTAACTGCAGGTAACAAGGAGCACGGTCAGAACCTGAAGATAACAAAGCGAAACAGAAAACAACAATAAAAGAGAAAAAACGACGACGAAAAAGTGAAGTGCCGCCATGCGACGAGACGCGTCGCCGAGAGCCGCACGAAGCGCCGCGCGACGGGAGAAGCGTCGCCAACCACCGAGCGACGGGAGAAGCGTCGCCAACCGCCGAGCGAAGCGCCGTGCCAATCGCCGTGACGTCGCCGAGAGCCGCGCCAAACGCCGCTCCACGGAGGAAGAAACGTCGCGAATCGAAGTGTGAAGCTTCAAAACAGGCCGCTTTACTAACTGCAGGTAACAACGACCATGGTCAGAACCGAATGATAGAAAAGCGAAACAGAAACGATGACGGAAAAAACGAGAAAAAAACGATGACGAAAAAGAGAAGTGCCGCCATGCGATGAGACGCGTCGCCGAGAGCCGCACGAAGCGCCGCGATGGGAGAAGCGTTGCCAACCACCGAGCGACGGGAGAAGCGTCGCCAACCGCCGAGCGGCGGGAGAAGCGTCGCCAACCGCCGAGCGATGGGAGAAGCGTCGCCAACCGCCGAGCGAAGCGCCGTGCCAATCGCCGCGCGGTGGGAGAGGCGTCGCCGAGAGCCGCGCGCTCCACGGAGGAAGAAACGTCGCGAATCGCCGTGTGAAGCTCCAAAACAGGCCACTTTACTAACTGCAGGTAACAACGACCACGGTCAGAACCAAATGATAAAAAGGCGAAACAGAAAACAACAAAAACGATAAAAAAAACGATGACGACAAAGAGAATGCGACGGGACGCGTCGCCGAGAGCCGCACGAAGCGCCGCGCAACGGGAGAAGCGTCGCCAACCGCCGAGCGACGAGAGAAGCGTCGCCAACCGCCGAGCGACGGGAGAAGCGTCGCCAACCGCCGAGCGACGGGAGAGGCGTCGCCAAGCGCCATGCGACCGCACCACGGAAGCGACGCCAATCGCGGTTTGAAGCTCCACCAACGGGCCGCTTTCTTTTACTGCATATAACAACAAACAAGGTTAGCAACTAGGATGTAAAGCGAGTGCCATGCGAGGAACATTAAAGCGACGAAAGGAAATAAAGCGGGTGCCTTACCAAGCTGAAACCGAAGCTCCACTAGCGACGGTCAAACCATCAAGTTGCCATCGGCGCCACGTGAAGCGCCAAGGTCGCCTGTGTTGGAAGTGGACACTGGAATGGCCCAAAGTGGTCTCCCTAAGGGCTACAGGTGTCGTCCTGGGGGGGTATGGGTGCGCTGACCCACTATGGAAACATGCCCTTTTATCCCAGTTGGTTAGCGGACTGGAATGCTATCCTTGCATGGTGCGGTGAGCGTGGAGGACCGGGGTTCGATTCCTGTTGTTGGCGACTTCCTGTGCCCTAGTGGTGGGCCCTCCCAGTGAGGGGAGTGTTGGAAGTGGACACTGGAATGGCCCAAAGTGGTCTCCCTAAGGGCTACAGGTGTCGTCCTGGGGGGGTATGGGTGCGCTGACCCACTATGGAAACATGCCCTTTTATCCCAGTTGGTTAGCTGACTGGAATGCTATCCTTGCATGGTGCGGTGAGGCGCAGGAAGCTGCAGCTGCAGTACATCCCTACGAGCGAGCAGCCTGCTGATTACCTCACAAAGGCATTGCATTTCCCCGCCTTCAGTCGTTGCTTCGAGGCTGTGGGGCAGGTGCGGCTCTCGAGTGAGGGGAGTGAAGACCTAGACACTCCATGATGTGGATGGTGCCATGGCCTATCCATGGCTGGTGCGGTGCGTGTTTACACTTTGAGCGTGTTTCGTTTGTGTGTATCCCTTTGTTTTGGTGTGTATGTGTGTATGCATGCCCTGTGATTATAAAGGGCCTTGCTGTAGTATGGCAGGGGAGTGTTAGAGGGCCCTACGACAGCAAGGGCCCTCGATGACCTTTGACTTGGCAGGTCGGCGCCTAACGACTGAGTCTACTCGGCACCGACGCACGAGTTCGGTGGCGGTCATTAGTGACTACGGGTGACTGTGAGCTACTGCAGCGAACTCGGCGGAATCGGTGCTAGGAATGACGAGTCTTGGGGGTCGTAGGTGCCTTGCTTGTGAGGCACGCTGCTCACTTGCTGTGTTGGCAGGAGTAGCGTGCACGGTGAGACATTCCGGTGCCGAGTTGGGTTGGAAATGTGCGGGGCGCGTTCACCCACCTGCACAGCACTTTCGTGTGGGTTGGGTTATTCGCAGCGCCACGCAACAATTGTGCAACTCTTGCTTGCCTATATATGTTTGTGTTTGCTTGTGTGTTTGAGAATTGATATTGCAATTCTACTTGGCCCAAATGCTACTTCAATTCTCACAAAGTCCTTAGAGGCAAACGCTACCAAAACTCTACCAAGTTGCTGGCGCAACATCATTCCCATAGCAGAGACTCTCTCGCTATCGCTACGCTCTCTAATATATTCCTTCAGCCTGAACTTACCTCATGGATGGCGGTGAGAAGAACCACACGGGAAGCGGACCCACACGGGAAGCGGACCCACACGGAAAGAGGAACCTCATGGGAAGCGGACCTCGCGGCGAGAGAGAAGAGGACCTCGCGGCGAGAGAGAGAGAGGAGTCTCGCGGCGAGAGAGAGAGAGGGTGAAGGGCTTCGTCACGAGAAGAGGACCCACACGGGAAGCGGACCCACACGGGAAGCGGACCCACACGGGAAGCGGAACCTCATGGGAAGCGGACCCACACGGGAAGTGGACCCACACGGGAAGCGGACCCACACGGGAAGCGGACCCACACGGGAAGCGGACCCACACGGGAAGCGGACCCACACGGGAAGCGGACCCACACAGGAAGAGGACCCACACGGGAAGCGGAGCCTCATGGGAAGCGGACCTCGCGGCGAGAGAGAAGAGGATCTCGCGGCAAGAGAGAGAAGAGGATCTCGCGGCGAGAGAAAGAAGGGGATCTCGCGGCGAGAGAAAGAAGAGGATCTCGCGGCGAGAGAGAAGAGGGCCTCGCGGCGAGAGAGAAGAGGATCTCGCGGCGAGAGAGAGAGGTCTCACGGCGAGAGAGAGAGAGAGGAGTCTCGCGGCGAGAGAGAGAGAGAGGAGTCTCGCGGCGAGAGAGAGAGAGGGTGAAGGGCTTCGTCACGAGAAGAGGACCCACACGGGAAGCGGACCCACACGGGAAGCGGACCCACACGGGAAGCGGACCCACACGGGAAGCAGACCCACACGGGAAGAGGAACCTCATGGGGAGAAGAACCACACAAGGGAGGGGTCTTCATTGATCCTTCAGTAAGGTGGCGAAGGATAAGAAACGTAAATGAAGTCAATGTATGGTACTTCAAGGTTCTCCTATGGACGTGAGCAAGAAGGCTGCAGGAGAAGAAGAGAAAGGTAATCATGCTGAAGAACAAGAATCCATTCGACGCTTGGTTCAGGTCAGGCGATGATTTATTGAGATTTGTACATGGTGTTGTGTTGTGCGCAGGCCGCCCCGCGCGGCAGAGCGCGCCCTGAATTCGAAAAGTGATGTGGTGCTGGGTGCAGTGGGGTACGACACGGCAGCTCTTTCTGTGTGAAGTGCGGGAAGGGCTGACATTGGTTGGTTTTGGTTGAAAGGATGCGCTGGAGTCCCATAGCCTCTGTCAACGGTGAAGATGGTTTCGAGCTGTGGATGGAGCCGCTACTACATGGTGGAGATTTTCTCGAGGGGTGATCGCTACTGCCGTGAATCATGACTCGTGGGGCCCGCATGGATTATGTCAGCGGGGAATTCCGGGAAATCTTGACGGCGGCTGCAGTGTGTACAGTACACAACATTCCCACACTCCATTGCAATACGATCTGAACAATTCAACTTTCAATTGAGAATTATGTTCAGTTTGGTTTTCATTGTATTGCTGCAAACGAGTTGTCTTTGGGCGAGTATCGCAGGTGGTTGGGTTTGGTGCGCACTCCAGGTTTGGAGCTGGGGCAGGCTCGAACCTTTTAGGAGGAAACTGACGTGGCACAGAGTTTCATTTAGTGAGGCCCGAGTGAGGCGTGGGATTGTGTGGTGTAGAAGGGGGTAAGAAAAACGTTTGGCTGAATCCTCGCGAAGTTTAGCTGCTCTCGAAACTACCTTCGCTGCGTGTGAACCAGGTTCGGGCAGCAGATTTTTTTTTTTTTTTTTTTTTTGGTGGATATAAGTACACTACCAGCATACATACATCCGCAGTCGTAACTGTTTGCTAGGAGGGCATGTAGAGGCTACAAGCACACAGGTAACCAGAGCCCCCCTTATCCTTTTACGGAGGTTGGAAAGCTACACCGCCATCTTCCCAGATCGCCTTAAAACCCGCTCTCCACGTCATCGAGGCCTCTGTCTCGTAGAGCCTGCGCATAGCACCTGCTTCGTCAGCATTCAGGTGGCTCCAGTCACCCGTCCTTTCCGAGGCATTTCTGCCAGCCGTTTTCTTCCGCGCTCTGCTGTAGATCTTCACGTGCCTCGTGAAGCCAACCGCTATGCGCCTCAATGCTCTCTTTGGTTGGAAACGGCTACCGCGGAAAAACGCGTTGCACCTCTCCAGCCAAACTTGATGCGCTGTTATGGATATGATTGCCGCCTCAGGGAAGCCTGTTGACGTGCCACTCCTTTGGAAGAGCATGTCTCTGCCCGGATTCATACACTGAACCGCTTCCCTCATCACCCCCACCACAGGTTGGATCGTCGGGCAGCTGAAAAGGCAGTGATCCTGCGATTCCACTCCACCACAGTACGAGCATTTCGCCCTCGCGCCCAAGAAAGGGAGCCGTTCTCCCACCTGGAGGTTGTTACTGTGCACCCTCAGTATTACTTCCCGTGCCCTGCATGGGGTTGCCAGTGAGTCACGGACCATGATGGCCTTCCCCCAGCCGATCTTCCTCCCCAGCTCCTCTTCCCACTTGAGCTGCTGTTTCGGTTGCGTCACCGAGGGTTTTATCGCCTTCCTCAGCTTCTTTAGATCAGCTCGCTCGC